CATGCTCAAAGCCTCAAGGGCGTCGTACCCGGACCTTGAAGGATGCAATTGCCCACGAGGAGGTTTCCTTATTAACTCCTAATTATATTGCTGTAGAGTCTTTCGGGGATCATTGAACAGGGTCCCCAAACCCAAGGCTACAACCTCAGGAGTCCCAAGGTAGTCCCATGAAAGCCCCAAACCTGAGGTGGGATCTTAGATTCAGAGTTCAGGTTTCGGGTTAGGCCTGTGTTTGGCTGCTTCACTTAAAGAACTTCAAGGCCTAGTCCATGGGTTAGGTGGGCCCCCCTCCTATTGTGATCATCCTAAGCCCAAATGGCCGTTTTTTTTGGGGAAGGCCCTCCAAAAGTTGAAAACGAAGTATACTTGAACAGCATACTCGAACAGCTTAGTCTTGCTTCTCCAACAACGAAGGAATACAAGTTCAAACTTTAACTGTCATACTCGAACAGACTAGTCTTGCTTCTCCAACATCGAAGGAATACAAGTTCAAACTTTAACTATAACATTCCTATTTCATGAGGAACAACATCAAACTAAAGTTCACCTGTCGGCTAAGTAAGTAGTCTTTCAAAGCCTAGAAATGGTCCCCGTTCCAAAAGCAACTTAGGAAACATGACATGTAAGCCCTAGGCCCTAAACCCACACCGCATTGTGGTTTGTAAAGGATCTAGGGGTTTACAATAGGGGGCCCCTAAAATAGACCCCCAAATAGTAGGACCTAGTAGGATTCCCCTATAATAAGGACCGTAACAAGAACGAATATCTTAAAACCCCCTCTTTCGACGGGTTAGGCAACGAGGGCCCTCTGTAGGTAACCTAAACCCTCTCTTGCTTCAGGGCTCCTGCAGAATGCTGCCTGTAGAAGGTGCCCGAAACCCTAAACCCTAAACCCTGAACCCTCCCAAGCATTGTAGAGCCCCATTCCCTCAACGGGACGCCTTGTTGGCTGGCGCGCGCTGAAAGAGCTCGAGCTCTGCCTGCCCCAGAGCTCGATCAAAGAATCCGGGGTTTAGGGTTTAGGGTTTATTAGGGTTTAGGACTGCAGGTTCAGAGCTTCACCCGCAACGGGCTGAAGGCCCTAAACCCCAAACCCAACCGCCCCAACCCCTAAACCCTAAACCCCTCCACACCGTAAACATATCGTCGAAGTCGTGACTCTTAAACCGAGCTCGGCACACTTTAACGAACATCGTTGGGGCCATCCTCACCCTAATAAACATGAAATAAACAACACAAAACATTTCATATTTCTAGAGGAGACCTGTGATGGGGGACTGAGTTGGGCATTTCCCAAAATAAGGGTACCCCTTTTACACCCCAAGTCGAATAGAGTCCCCTTGAAGGGACCCCCCCCCCCCAAAAAAAAAAAACAAAAAACAAAAAAAAGGGTACCCCTATTTTCGGAAAACCCCCAGTTGGAACACCCGACCTTGACGATGCCCAGTGCGGTGGTGGAGACGGTGCCTGGCTTGGCGGAGTGCGACGACCCACGAACCCTGAGTCAGCCCCCCCCCCCCCCCCCCGACATTATTTCAAGGGATTTAACATGATCCGAAGTATGGGCCCTTAGTATGTGTAGTGTATATCCGGGTTATATAACAGGGGATCCACATTAAGGACCCACACTTCGGATCCCCTGTCAACGTGATGATCCCCTGTCACTGTGATGCTCGATATGGGGGCTTCTGATACTAGGGGTACCTTATTGGGGCCTTCGTATGAGGGAGATCCCACTAGTTGGGGTCTATTTCAGGGGTCCCCAATTTGTCGGAAACCCCCATGTTGCCGGTGAAGTGTCGCAAGGAAGGAACACCCTGAACCCATTCCTAGCCTCGCATCTGCAGGATTCAACACATGGGTGTAGGTGTACTTGGAGGTTCAGGGTACTTAGTAACACCCACTTATAAGCTCGGTAAGTAAGCCCCTTAAGCACCCGAATAGGGTTACAGTTGGGTTTATAAGTACAGTTCTACTTGGGTTACCTAAGTACCCTGAACCTCCAAGGATGGGCTTTATGTAGAGGCCCAGGGCTTGCCTACAACTCTAAGTCCTAGGGCTTAGGGTTCAGGGTTTCCTAAACCAGTAGTTTGCATCTGACTTGGTAGGTGTGAGCGAGCAATAACTACCGGAGAGAAGAGCCCCAGGTAGGGTTTAGGCATTGAGATGATTTGGGTTTAGGGTTTATAGGGTTTTTCGGGTTTGTAGGGTATTTATAAGGTTTATAGGGTTTGCAGGGCTTACAGGGTTTCTAGGGTTTAGGGCGAGATGTTGCCTGGACGCACCCTGACAGAGGTGGGATTGAGGTTGTTTCGGGCGGAGTTACCGGGGAGCTCTCCCCGTCCAGACTTGATCTTCATCTTGTGGCCCAAACTTTCGCGTGCTGAAAACGGAACTGAGGCCCCCCCCCCCCCTGATTTTGAAACCCTGAGCCCCTCCCCACTAAGGGGGAGGCACAGGGAGTCCCCTACACCCTATACCCTACACCCTCAACCTTTAGAATTTTGAACCCAGACTCCTGAAGTCAGCTGGGGATGCCTAAACCCTAAGCCCTAAACTCTGAACCCAAAGCCCAAACCCTAAACCCCAAACCCGAAACCCTACTATATTAGGGGGGGAGGGAGGCTTGGGAGTCGAGTGTTGGCATCGTCCGTCACACCCCCGCAGCCTGCCGAAAAGGAGAGCCATCCTTGGCTTAGAGACCTTAAGGGCCTGTCTTGGTGATTAGGGTTTAAGGGATTTTTTTGGTCACCCGCCCAGCACTCGCGCACACCGGGTTAGGGTTTTAGGGTTCGGGGTGTAGGGGTTCAACTAAACTCTGAGACCCTCAACAACCCCCTGAAACAACCAAGGGCCATAGGGTTGGACTCTGTCATTCCCAAAGAGTTGCAACCATGTGACTTAAACTGGCGGGTTCTTAGTAGGGAATGGGGAAAGAGGTACCCTCTTTAATCCCTTGAAGGGTAAATATGTGTATTTCTATAGGGCCCTCATTCCCTCATTCACTACTAAGAAGAACCAGAGGGTAAAGGGCCCACGGGGACAGTTCTAGGTAGGCCCTTCCGAATGGATCAATATGTATGTGTGCCGTCCATCTTGATCAGAGTACGCACTGTACTCTATCTTCCCAAGTTGGGAAACGGTGTTCCTATCCTGGACGAGGCAGCAAATGACATGGTGCTAAGTTCAACTAAATTGCATTCAAAGGTTGAAGGGGAGAGCCATTTTGGCTTAGGTTTCAAGAAGAAACGCCTCCCGCTACCTCCTTCAAAGCAAAGCCTTCAACGGCAACGAACACAATGTCCTTTAAAGGGACACGGCCCAGCCTCCGTCACTTCCAAGCTTCCTAAACCCTCCTTTGCTCATCCGCTAATGGCAGCAAATCCCCTACAACAGCCATCAAGTGTCCCCTAACAAACACCTTCAGCTAGGGTTTCGGGTTTAGGGTTTGGGGTTTGGGGTTAGCCCAGCAGCCTTCTTTTGTGGCCCTGGCGCCTTTCTCGGTTGAGGACCACACCTGCCGAAGGTGAACCCCAGAGTACATAACCATTGCCCCTAGGTCCCACAGTAATGCCCCTTCTTAGGGTTTAGGGTTTAGGGTTCCCCAAAAGCGACCAAATTTTAGAGAAATGACCATGTAGTGGTGGAAGGAAAATGAAGAAGCATTGATCGTAAAGCGTAGTTATGGTAGTGGATACACCATGATACACCTATGTGGATGAAGGTTCCTAAGCCCTTTAGGGTAGTTGCATGGTCCCTTAGTATGGGCCCATAGAAGGGGTAACCCTTACATCAGAAGCCTTTAAGGTCGTAAAGGAGCCGAAAGCCCATGAAAAAACCGTAGAAAACCTCGAAGCCCGAAACCCTCTAAACAAATGGTGTGGTAAACTGCCGGTCCAGGCCTCTGTGCGGGGCTCCGAGGCCTGTGTAGGGTTCAGGGTTCAGGGTTCAGGGTTTAGGGTCCGCCGACCCTGGCGGCGTGTTGGATGGGGAAAGGAGGTGAAAACCTCCCTCCCTCCTTTACCCCCCAAAACGGGGGGGGGGGGGGGGTCGGTGCACAATTTTTTCGTGGAGGACCGCGCCACCCGCACAGCGTAAACAGGCGTCAGCACAAAAAAAAAAAGCAAACGCACCCTCAGGAAAATCAGCGTTTTCGGCCCCCCCCCCCCACCCCCCCCCCCCCCCCACCCCCCCCCCCACCCCCCCCCCCCCAACCCCACCCCCACCCCCCCCCCCCACCCCCACCCCCCCCCCCCCCAACACCCCACCCCCCCCCCCCCCCCCCCCCCCCCCCCCCCCCCCCTTCCCCCCCACCCTCCACCCCCAACCACCCCCCACCCCCCCCCCCCCTCTTTTTGGCTTGCCCCCTAACCCCCCAAACGTTTCACAGAACTCTGCCGAGCAGGCTGGGATGATCTTCGAACCATGCGAGCGGGTTTAGACCTCTCAACTATGCTCCAGCGGGGTCGGCGGCTTGAGCCGGAGGCTCTTAAATTTAGGGTTTAGGGTTTAGGGTTTAGGGAGTTGAGGATTTAGGGTTTAGGTTTGAGGATCTCCAAAACCAGCCCTTGCCTGCCAGGGTTTATAGTCCCTGCCGCGTACACCCTTTCTAGGCTGTTGGCGTACACCCTTTCCAGCAACGCCTCGCGCAGTAAGACTTTCAGGGCCAAGCCCTTCTCCCAGAGTCCCTCACGGACAGCCACCTTTCCGTCGTTGTAATCTTTCTGGACCAGAGGCTTCATGCGGCAAAATGTAAAGCAATCGCACAAGCTGGGTGGGTCTTAGATCTTGGAAGGGATACAACCAGCGCGCAGTAGATCATCAGCAAACACTTCGGCAGCATGCTTGCATGAATCACTAGCATGGCCGTCTGACTGGCCCGAACTTGTGGGCAGCTTCAGTGGTTGGTGACCTGCCGAAATTCTGCAAAAGGGTGCGTGTGTTAGACCCCGCCTTCCAGCACTGATGGAAGCAGGGCATCGGCCCTTCGTGACTTTGAGATGACACGCTCTTTCCTTCCAAAGAGTTGGCCCGGGTCGCCCTCTGCGTCACGGCCAGCACAGCCAGTTGGGATAACGATCTGGATCTTCTACCACTTGCCATTTGTATCCCTGCAGCCCAAATCGACAAATTGGGATCAGCTGGTGCTCCAGCAAACGCAAGCAAATCCAGCAAGAAATCTCCTGCTTCGTCAGTCGGCATGGGTACACCACTCCATTGCGACTGGCTCACAAGCCAGTCAACTGGCCCATGGGACATCACTGACACCCCTGATCACCCCTGGCCACAGCTGTGTCAGACAAGAACCTCGTTTGAGCTTCGGCAGTCAAAGATGCCTTGGAGCCGCTTGCGCAAAAAGTACAGGGGTGGTTCTGGTCGCGCAAGGGTTGGCGGGTGCTGTGAAGGCGCAGGCCCCGTTGGTGGCTGCATTGGTGGCAGTTGGCGGGGTGGTTCTGGTCACGCAAGGGTTGGCGGGTGCTGCGACGGTGCAGGCCCCGTTGGTGGCTGCACTGGCGGCGGTTGCAGGGGTGGTTCTGGTCGCCAAGCGTTGGCGGGTGCTGTGATGGCGCAGGCCCCGCTTGATGCGTTGCTGTGCAGCCACCTGCAACACGCATCGCAAAACAAAATTTGCCCTTTTACAGCTTTCAACCAATTGGGAATATCATCCATCGTCAGACCTTCCAGTCTGCGAACTTGCAGAAGGCTGAACTGCTCACGCTGTTGAAGGGGCCTCTTTTGCAGGTAAAGGTCTGGGACTACCTCCCTAGACCTACTAGAAACCACCGTCTCCAGAGAAGCACACACAAGTTTGCACACCCCATCTAGGAGTCTCAGTGCTGCCAGAACATGATTGGCAGTCGTGGGTTTTGCACCTGAGTCCCTGAAGGCACACATAGGGTTCATAGGATTTGCAGGCCTTACACTGTCGAGTCGGCGCATACGCGATTGGGGTTTTGGGTTTAGGGTTTATGGTTTACCCTGAACCCTATAAACGCCACCCGAGCTCCCGACTATTTAAGGGGTACTTGGGCGGGGATTGCAGTATACCCTGGACCCTGAAACCAATCCCGTCCCCTAACGCCCCAAACCACATCCTAACCCCTGAAACCCAAGCCAAGGGTTCTACACTAAAAGGGTTGATGGTCCATATGTGTAATAGGGAATCAGAGTCGCATTGGGTCCCAATTTTAGGGGCAACTTCCCCCGAACCCAAACCCTTAACCTTAAAGCCTTTTTGCATAGCCTTAAACCCTAAAACCTAAACCCTAAACCCTAAACAGCTCTGTGCCTTGAGAGGTGGGCGGCAGGCCGAGCGTGGTCGGGAGGCCACGGACAGGGCAGAGGTGGGCCTCTTGAGGCATAGGAGTTCTAGAGCTGTTGGGTTTAGGGTTCGAGGGTTGAGGGTTGAGGGTTGAGGGTTGAGGGTTTAGGGTTTAGGGTTTAGGGTTTAGGGTTTGGGAACAGTTGAGGCTTAGGATTGCTAGTCCTGTTGGGTTGAGGATTCTAGGGTGCTAAGGTTTAGCGTTTAGGATTGAGGGTGTAGGATTAAGGGGGTAGGATTTAGGGTTTTTGCTTTGGTTCAGGCATTTAGTGATTTGGGCCTACGGAATATGGGATTTAGGGTTGAGGGTCTTCCCTGAATAACGCCACACAAATCTTCACAAGCCTGGTAAAGGGTCGCTTTGGGATTCAGCCTAAGAGTTGTGTAGGGAATGTATTAATTACATGCAGAATAACCCCCCCCCCCTTTGCACAACCCGCAACCCGAAAATGCACACAGGCTTCTTCAGGACGTTGAGCCTAAACCCAATTAAACCCGAACCTGAAACCATAACCCCTAAACCCTAAGCGACATGGTCCCGGTCACGCTTTGGCACTGTACCTTTAACAGCCAGCGATCCGGGGTATTTCAAAGCAAGGACCATCCAGGGTTTGGGAGTTTACGCTTCTGTCAAAGCGTTTTCAGGACAAGGTTTAGGGTTTAGAGTTTAGGACCACCCATGATAATGACCTGCTCATATTTGCATATTTATCGGGCTTATAGGGCTTCTACGTTTTCGGGTTGACCGGTCTTATAGTGTGGCTTGTGGTACATGCAAGGGGCGTCTAAACGGCTTTACAGGGCATTTGGGGGTTAAACCCTCTCTCTCTCTCTCAGGCTTACACCCCCTAAATACCCTAAACCCTAAACCCTGAATTCCCTAAACCCTGAATTCCCTAAACCCTAAACCCTAAACCCTAAACCCTAAACCCTAAACCAAGTGCGGACGCCTGCTCTTCATGGGCATCAGCGACAGTCACCTGGTCAGCGAGGCTGTCATGGTCGGGAACAATCGGGTTTAGGGTTTAGGGTTTCAGGGTCTATAAAGGGGAGGGGTCCCTAGAATGGAACCCCCTATTAAGAAAAACCCTTATGTATACCTCCTAAAGTCCCGATGTACCTAAGTAGCACCCAAAATGGGCATTCAAAGAACCCTAGGGTCCCTTATAAGGGTCCCTCCTTTAGTCTGTTGAGTTTGGGCTTTCGGGGTGGAGTTGCCATGTGCGGTACCTTGTCGAATCAATAGCTTCGATATTCTAAGGGCATCGAAATTCAACATGTGATCAGTTCTCAAAAATTGTGCACATAATGATTATCGGTGCCTACAAAGATTTAGGGTTTAGGGGGTCTAACACTTCTTTCGAGTGGAGTCTACGCCGGTCTTGAATCCTTACACTCTCAACACTGATAGCGACGACTATGGGGAAATACCCTGGCAGGCCATCATTTCGGGTCCTTTGCGAGCAGTCATTGCCACCAGCGACCCCTAGAATCTCCCGATAGAGAGACTGCAAAAACCACCGAAACTATACACATTCCCTACGAAAGACCTTAAAGTTGGGTCTGGCACTCTTGGGAAATCCCCTTGCGCCCTCTATCTAACCCAGCTTGGGGCAAGGCGGTGAACCCTCAGCCCGCAAGCTTAAACGCTGCTATGTGTACTTTTTGAGGTGCCCACGTAGGACTCCGAATTTATAGACTTCTGTTTCGTTACTGTCCAGCACGTCTCTAGTTCAGGTTGATGAATGCAAGGGGTTTAGGGTTTGGGGCTTTCCTTGGGCCTAAGGGGCTTGGGCTTAGGATGCTCATTCTGGCGACCAGGCGCCTCAGTACCACCTCCCGCCCAGAACAGCCCATCGCATGGTCGGGCCTTGCAGGGTTCTGCGATAGAGATAGAGATTGAGATAGAGATAGAGTGAGAGTGAGAGTGAGAGAGAGAGAGAGAGAAAGGAAAGGGGAGGGGGGGAATGGGAAGGGAGGAGCGTGACTTCCTCGCTTGCTGCAGCTTCACAACAGGAGGGCCATAGGCAATGCCCAAGTGAGGATCATGTGGAACCAGGGTGGGCTATTCCCAAAGGGCCCAATATTGCTTAATTAAGGAATATACCTTAAATCATAATATGATTTAAGGAATATTCCTTCATTAAGCAATTATTGGGCTCTTTGGGCTGTTCCCTGGAGATCCCTCAAAAGGCCCTTTATCGGGTTCATTCTGGGGATTTTTTTAAGGCCTACTAGCCCATCCTGGAAATCTCTCTGAAACGGCGGAGAGCTTTCCTGGTTTAGGGTTTAGGGTTTAGGGTTTAGGGTTTAGGGTTTAGGGTTTAGGGTTTAGGGTTGTGCCCTGAAAAAACAGGCGCAGCCCAAGCCCAAAACCCAGCCAACCAAATTTTTGGCGCAGTCTGAGGAGTGTGCCAGGCAAAGGCCAAGCCCCCAACATGCGGAAAAAGCGGGGGAGCACTGGGAGCCAAGAAGCCGAGAGCTTTGCAGTCTGCCGGCCAGACTTCTCATGATGAGTTTTGTATTCACACCCTCTGTTAACCCTAAACCCTGAACCCTAAACCCTATCTTTAAATCACCTCCAAATAGCCGCTAGCTGAAGGCGGTGACCCAATCATACTCCTCATAAATGTAGCAGATGAGTTATATGTCCCAACTACGCAGCGTACTTTGTTGGCTAGAATTTAGCGTTTAGGGGGTTAGCGTTTTGGGTGTTAACATGTCTACGTGCATACATAGAGTTCAGGGTTCTCAAGGCGATGGGGTTTAGGGTTTAGGGGATAATTTGGGTTTGCGGGGCTGTAATTCCGAGCAAAGTATATCATAAAGAGCCTTTAGGGTTTAAATTGTCCCCCGAAGCAAGGGTGGGGCTTAGGGTTTGGGATTTGGCCCGGTATGAGATTCTACAAGATCTGGGCTCGGGGTGGATTCTTCAGGGCACCTCGTATCTGGGTTTAGGGTTGAGGGCTAGGGTATAGGGTTCAGGGTTTAGAGAACTCGAAAAACATGCACTAATTTCTGAACCTTCGAAACCCTACTTGGAGGTTCATGGGACTTAGGATCCATCCCTGTAGCTGGCGGGTATGTCCTGCCAACCTTCAAGTGAACCCTCTTCAACCCTAACCCTTAACCCTAAACCCTCAACCCTAAATCCTAAACACAAAATCATACCCCACACCCCCCACCCCCCCCTCTGCCAATCGTGGGTTTATTCATGTGTTGGGGGTTTCCGCAAGGCCACCCGAAAACTGGGGTCATTCATCTACCAATCTCACAAGCCCTCTATGCTAAGCCCTACAAGCCCCGACGCTCTGCAGGTTCTCCGCTAACCTAGGCAAAAACAAGTTACCTTTGGGGTTTAGTGGTTAGGGTTTAGGGTTTGTGTCGGTTGCCGTAGGTCTGCTCAAGGGATCCGTACCCTACAAGTATGGGAATAAGGGTACTTGGGCAATCTTGAAACGCCGGACGGTCACTCTCGGGCCCCCGTCGGATGTGCCCTCCAGCTTTATCTGCTGCCGCACCTCTTGCAGCCAAAATCAAGGGAGTCATACTCGGACCTGGAAGGATCTACCCCTCAGAGGTCCCCTTAATAACCTTCTAATGTGGCCCTTATATTCATGTACTCATTCCCTTAGAAACTCTTTAAAGAGGGTTCCCAAAAATCAAGGGTACAACCTTAGGGGCCCAAGAAAGAGTCCCATGACAAAAAGGGCCTAGGCGCGTGCAGAGAGTGGTGGGCGCACAGATGCCCTCTGCCGCTGCAGTGGTCAACCCAAGCCGTGAACCAAAATTGCCTATATACTCCTCCCCAAAAAAGTGTATACATACATATATACACACAGATATACATATATATATATATATACACATACATACATATATGTATGTATGCATGCATGTATGTATGCATATCTACAGAACACTTCAGAGCTCTGTTTCCTGAAGGTTAAAGCTAAGGGGATGGGTTTCACCCGGAACCCTTACCCCAGACACATACCCTCAGCCGATACATTAGAACACCTCGTCCCCAGGTTTCTGTTGGCTTCACTGTAGTTCGAAACGTAGTAAACACATTTCGAGAAGGTAGAAAATCATGTGATAATTGTGATCCTGAAAAAAGAGGTTACAGTTCTACTTATGCTTCACAACCACCCCCCCCCCCCCAACAAAACAAACAAAAAACTTTGTTGGCCTTGGTGTAAGTTTTTAAGCAAATAGTATAGCCTTGAGGCCGACTAACCCCAAACCCTAAACCCTTATAGAAGGTGTACGATACCCTAGGCCCTCCAGACCCCCGGTGCCTTACACTTCTGCGGGAACTGGCTGTCGCTCTCCTGGGCTTGAACGGGCCGAGGGTCCGTCCTTGGCCGAGTGCACCCGAAACCCTAAACCCTGAACCCAAAACTCCAGGCCCTGAATCCTGAACCCTAGGGTTTAGGGTTTAGGGTTTAGGGTTTAGGGTTTAGGGTTTAGGGTTTAGGGACCCTAATCCCTAATCCCTAAACACTAAACCCTAAACCTAGAAGCCTTGAACCCCAAGCCGGGCTGGGCTTTGGGGATTTGCTTGACAAGTGACAATGTGACTGGCTCAACACATATGTTCACTTCTCTAAATTAATGGCCCCTTTTGGGTTTGCACTTTTGTTCGGACTAAGGTGACTAGGGTTGAGGTAGTAGTAGGGAGCAGCGGCTAGAATGCCCAATCCAGAACTCATGGGGCAGGCTTGCGGCCATTTCTTTGTGTCCGTGGCAGCTTGCCGCTTGGGGCGTGCGATTTCACTGGCGCTGGGATGGCCCAGCTGGCCACACATGTGCTAAGACCCTTGTGTTGTGAACCCGGCACTAAATCACACATATGGCCCTGGAGTGTCTGAACTGTCTGGTCTACCCAAAGAGCCCAATACTCCTTAATTCAAGAATATACCTTGGATCATATTCAGGATCCCTATATAATTTAAGGTAGATTCCTTAATTCAGGGGTTGTGGGCTCTCTGGGCAATTCCTGTCAAGTCCCACAAAGCCAGGTACCTTGAAGCGTGGCGCTGTGGGCCAGATTTAAGCTCCCAAGTCTCAGGCTCTAACTGGTTCCTAAACCCTAAACCCTAAACCCTAAACCCTAAACCCTAAACCCTAAACCCTAAACCCTAAGCCCTAAGCCCTAAGCCCTAAGCCCTAAGCCCTAAACCCTAAACCCTAAACCCTAAACCCTAAACTAGCTGGTCTAAGGGAGTTACACGGGCCGTAAATATAGCCCCTTGCCTTCTTGAGAAAGGGTTCTGAAGTATTAGTTTTTGGGTTTTATAAGGCATAGAAACGGGTAGAAACGGGTTCCCCAAGTAAGTGCCCATATTTAGGGACCCATGCAACTAACCTTCTCTAGGCCCTAAACCCTAAACCCTAAACCCCAAACCCTCAACTTTGAAGCCTGAGGGTTCGCGTTTTGGGGGGCGCGGACTTTCTGGGTTTAGGGCTTAAGGTTCCCCCTAAATCCTAAGCCCTAAATTTTGGTGACAGGGAGCCCGCAACCGATAAAGCTTCTTAAACTCATGGGTTCCCCACTACCCTCTATACTACCCCCCCCCCCCCACCCCCCCCCCCCCCCCCCCCCCCCTATCCCCCAGAATTAAGGCTCTTTGAGGGTTCAGGCTAATTAAGGCTATTTAAGGGCGAAGCTTAGGGAGGGTAGTATAGAGAGGGGTGTAGTAGGGGAACCCATGATAAACAGCCGCAAAGTGGGGCGGACGGCTCTCTCTCTCAACTCACGCGGCCGAGGGCGTAAGCACCTGGCCGGGGGATGATCGGGTCAAGGATTCGAAAGGGGTTCTTCTCGAACCAAGTATTTTTTGTGTATACACTATAATCATTTTGCTTACTCATAGCTTGTGTGTGTGTGTGTGTATGTGTGCTTGAGGTTTTTGTGCCGTATAGGGAATCTAGTTGATCATTTTGTGTGTTCATTGTTTGTGTGTGTGTGTGCACTTGTGGGGGCTTTTGGGCTTGAAAAGGAATTCAGGAAAATCGGAGCCTGTGTGGTCCGTAAACCGTAGACCCTAAACCCTAAGCCCTTGTGAAATCCTATATTAGGGTTTAGGGATACTTCAAGAACCCCCCAAATCACTATTCTACTTTCTAAGGGCCCCTACACTAGGGGTACAGGGCCTCTTGTGATTCAACCATAAACTCCAAACACTACAAACCTTGAGATCCCAGCACCCCTTCATTCAGGAATTTACCAAAGTATGTCCTTCATGTGAATGAGTTTACATTCCTTAATTTGGGGGGTATTCTGCTCTTTCAGGTAGAATCCAAGAAAGGGCACAAGGGCACCGCTGGGCTGCCGAGGTTGAGGGTTTAGGGTTTAGGGTTTAGGGTTTAGGGGAGATCCCCGGTGATAGGATCTTGATGTTTATGTGGCCTGTTGGTCCCCGGGTCTTGGGTTTAGGGTTCTGGGCTACCAAGGTTCAGAGTAGAGGGCTTCAGGGGCTGGAGCTGTCGTGCTTCTGCGGCTTTGCAGCGTGAGGAGTGAAAAGGAGAACCTCCCCCCCCCCCCCACCCTAAACCCTAACCCCCCTAAACCCCCCAAACCCCCCAAACCCCCTAAACCCCCTAACTCCCCCTAAAAACCCCCTAAATACCCCAAACCCAAAACTTCCGAAAGCCCACACGCGCAGGCAGTTTTTTTCCACCGCTCTGCCCCGGCGCTTGCGTGGGGTGTGGCCGCGGCCTGCGGCGGCCGTGAGTTGGGTTACCATTCTGCCCCTGAGAACCAAACCCTAAACCCTAACCCTAAACCCTAAACCCTAAACCCTAAACCCTAAACCCTAAACCCTAAACCCTAAACCCTACGCCTTTTTGACTATGCCCTGAGGCTTTGTACAAGCATACAAAAAACCCTTAAACATAATATCGGGAAGTGGAAAGTACAGAGGGGCTCGACCTTGGAGTTTCGGGTTTAGGGTTGCACCCCAAAGAGAAAAAGAGAGAAAGAGAGAAAGAGAGAAAGAGAGAAAGAGAGAAAGAGAGAAAGAGAGGAAGAGAGAAAGAGAGAAAGAGAGAAAGAGAGAAAGAGAGGAAGAGAGGAAGAGAGGAAGAGAGAAAGAGAGAAAGAGAGAAAGAGAGAAAGAGAGAAAGAGAGAAAGAGAGAAAGAGAGAAAGAGAGAAAGAGAGAAAGAGAGAAAGAGAGAAAGAGAGAAAGAGAGAAAGAGAGAAAGAGAGAAAGAGAGAAAGAGAAAAAGAGAGAAAGAGAAAAAGAGAGAAAGAGAGAAAGAGAGAAAGAGAGAAAGAGAGAAAGAGAGAAAGAGAGAAAGAGAGAAAGAGAGAAAGAGAGAAAGAGAGAAAGAGAGAAAGAGAGAAAGAGAGAAAGAGAGAAAGAGAGAAAGAGAGAGAGAGAGAGAGCCCATCTTAGGGAATGTAAGGCGTTGGGTTCGGGGACCCTTGAAAACTCCTTTTAAGGGAGTCAGTCTAACTTCCATATCAGGAGCGTGTGAAGGTTAGCTTGGGGGTCCGACTATGACTCCCTTGAGTGCAATATCGAATCGGAGGAAGGGGATGCCGAAGGTTTGGGGCTTGGATTCATGAAGCACAAGCCGCTCTCACTCGCAAGCGACAAGCCCAGGCCGAGCCCATCCTAAGAAACAACTCTTGCACCTATTAAAGACCCCACCACTTAGTGGGCTGCTCTGAACCCGTATTACAAGGCTTAACTTTCAAAGCCCTGAACCACAAAAACACTCCAGCCCTCATATACTCTGAACCCATGTTACAGGGCTCCACTTGCTAAAGGGTTTAGGGCTCGTTCTCTCTAGCTGGACTTAGCTTTTCTGTGGCTGTCCTCCAGCTGAAACTTGGGTCTAGGGTTTCGGGTTTATGGTTCCTGGAGCCACAAAATCTCTCCAGCCCTGGCCTCCATTAGTGTGCCAGGAGTTCGCGGGGCGCCGGCGAGAAGAGGCACAGCCTGGGAGGCGGGTTTGCAGACAAAGAAGCGCCGAAAGCCCCTCGGGAGCGCCTACAAACTCTCGGGCTGTGTGTAGGGTCGAGGGTTGAGGGTTAAGGGTTGACGGTTTAGGGACTAATGCCCTCAGCTGCCTTAACACGGGGCTGCCGCCCAGGCCTGAAGAAGATAGAATCTCCCAAGCCCCATGTTCTTTACCCTATACACCCTAAACCCTAAACCCTAAACCCTAAACCCTAAACCCCAAGAAGCATGCCAAAGGGCTTGGGTTTTGGGAGTTTATAGCCAGTAACCAGTACTACCAACACAGTCCCAGATGCGCGTCGTCCGCGGAGTCTGCAACCTGATTCAGGGTTAGGTTTTAGGGTTTAGGGTTTAGGGTGTTTTGGGCCTTAGGATCCGAGATTTGGGGTTCTACTCGAGTGGTATAAGCCCCCAAGGTCCTAAGAATAACAAGGGTGCCCTTGGCTTGTTGGTTTATCGAAACTAGGTTCTTAGGGGCTGAATACCCTAGCCCAAAAAAGGTCAACCTTTTTATATAGTGGGATTCTCTACAACCAAAAAGGTTAAAGGTTACCTACAGTTCCCAGGCGGACCCTCGTAAAGGACTTTGCATTCGCTAAGTCCTAAACGAATAGGATTTAGGAAGAGGATTTGGGGAGCAAGATATAGGGAAGAAGATTTAGATCCCTGGATCGGATAACCAGGGGGGTCATTTCGGAAATTAACAAGTTTGCATTTTCATTGGCCCAAATCATATTCGCTAAATCCGAACGGCTTAGGGAACAGGAGGCAAGGAGCAAAATGAAGGGAACAAGGTTTAGGGATCCCTAAACCCTAAACCCTAAACCCTAAACCTAGGCTTATGATTTAGCGGGGGGCCTGAGGCATTCGGTCGACCATGCGGCCGGTGATGCGGAAGTCCGTCAGCGCCTCGGTGACTGACTTGGGCTTTAGGGTTTAGGGTTTAGGGTTTCGGTTCAGGGTTTAGGGTTTAGGGTTTTAGGATTTAGGGCTGAAGGTTTAGGGTTTAGGGTTTAGGATTTCTGGGACACTAAATCTCGCCCCCGAAACCCCAGCACGGACCAGAGCCAAGGGTGGCCTTTTTGGTGTGAAGGGGCTCATAAGGGAACGCGAACCTAAAGCCGAAAAAAGAAAAGCGCCTACTCTGCGTCTTAGTAGCCCACTTAATTGAGGAATATAACCTAATCCATACTAAGGATTATTATTATGCATTAGGGTATATTCCTTAATTAAGGGGTTCCGGAAGACCGGAGGTTATGTCGGACTTATGGGACACACTGATGAGTACGTAATGACCTCCACAGATCTGTGGTCGATGTGCTAGGGATGTTCCAATTTTTGATTTTATGGCCCTTTGAAGGGGGGGGGGGATGTTGGGAGGGGACTCCGAGACACAAACCCAAACCTCGGGAAAATGGGGTAATGAACCTAGTCACTGCCACTCTGAAAATGGCAATCTCTCAATTGGGGTTCCGTCGATTTCGGCTGAATAGGTAACGTGCCAACGCATGCGTTTCGAGGACCTCGTGTCAGCCGAAGTCGAAAGGCTCGAGCACATCATGGACCCTCAGCCTCTAAGCTCAACGCCCCCATCCACCGACCAAAAACAGAGCTCCTCTACTCCAACCTCTGAACACGAAACCCGGCCTGGGACGCAATTTAGGTACAGTTCTCTACCAATTGCTTAAGAACCTCCCCCCCCCCCCCCAAAAAAAAAAAAAAAAGAAACATTCTTCCTCATAATGGTACTATAGGTTTTTTTTTGTTTTGAGTTTTTGGGGTTCTTTAAGCAAGTAGTAGTTCTTCTTCTACATGGTAACGCCCTGATGGACAGCAAAGGAGCCCAAGTGATGTTCCAGCGCAGCCCATACAGAAAGGGACACATTTCCTGACCAAGCATCGCTTCTATGGCACACCCTAAACCCTAAACCCTAAACCCTAAACCCTAAACCCTAAACCCTAAACCCTAAACCCTAAACCCTAACCCAGACATGAACCCTAGCAGGGTATCCTTGATAAAAGAGGGCTTGGGAAAACCGCATAACTCTTTATCGGTTTTCTTTGCTTACTTGTGTGTGAAAGGAAGCCTAGTCGGGATTCGCTGGGCTAGAGGAGTTTAGGGCCTCGGGCTTCGGGCTTCGGGCTTCGGGCTTCGGGCTTCGGGCTTCGGGCCTGGGACGCTGGGTTCTTTTACAGAGAAGGTCCTGACTTGTATGTTCTTGTTGGGGCTTTCTGCGTTCAACATCGGCCACTGAGACCAAGCCTCACCAGGACCACCATGAGTCCCGCAAAACTGTCTTTGGCGCGGCCAAGCGTACGAGCACAAGAGCTTTGGAAGGAAATCGCCGCAAAATCCTGCACCCTCCAGTAAGGGCAGCTGCAGGGACGGGGGGAGGGAAAGGCAGCTTGCGGTGCTGCGGTTCACGGTGCATACGCCTGCTATGAGCGGTCTAGGGCCCGTAGAAGACCTCCCCAGCTGAAGCCGTCCTAGACACTAAACCCTGTTGGAGGGTTTGGGACCCTAAACCCTAAACCCTAAACCCTAAACCCTAAACCCTAAACCCTAAACCCTAAACCCTAAACCCTAAACCCTAAACCCTAAACCCTAAACCCTATGCCTACCCAGATCCAGCAGCACTTCAAGCTTGGTGCCTTCAGCAACGCCACCAAGCCGGTCATCTCCTCTACTGTCCTTCGAAGGCCAAACCGTATAGTTTAGGGTTTAGGGTTTAGGGTTTAGGGTTTAGGATTTAGGATTTAGGGTTTAGGGTTTAGGGTTTAGGGTTTAGGGTTTAGGGTTTAGGGTTTAGGAAAAAAAGGCCAAACTGTTGAAGCCTAAAACTTCTAGGGGCTTGCTTGGCTTGCGACTTCTAGCAGCTACTCCGCCCCTTTCAGGGTCTCTCGCTGGAACTGATAGTCTTAGTTTGTCCCCTAAACCCTAAACCCTAAACCCTAAACCCTAAACCCTAAACCCTAAACCCTAAACCCTAAACCCTAAACCCTAAACCCTAAACCCTAAACCGGATTTTAGGGACTCGGGGGTCGGCAAGAACACCCCAAGTCCCTGAACCCTAGACACTGAACCCTTGTTCCAGCTGGGCCCTCAACCTCCCAAAACCTGCCCTAAACCCTAAGCCCCAAATCTAAGAAATATTCGACATGCCCTTAAAGAAATTAAGGGGTATGGAAATATACTCCCCTTAGACTCCCTTATAATTTCCTGTCAAAGGCTAAGGGATGTGGGTTTGGGGTGTGGTGAATCATTCTTAGATCAAACCCCCCAAACCCCTATACACCCTAAGCTCTGTACACCGTCAACCCTAAGCTAAAACCCCTATAAGCCCTAAACCCCGCAAACGGAGGTGCGGCAGAAGCTCAGAGCATAGGGATGGAGAGAAAGCCACACCTCAACTCCCATATCTGGCTGGCACATGCAAATCATATGAGCCCACGAGAGGCAGGTTAGATCCCTATGGTGCGCAGTCCAAGAGGCATCTGTAACCAAACTAAAGAACAGGAAGCCGCACTGTACCTAGCTAAACCGGCTACACCCAGTACTTGCTGCACGGGTGTCATTGTAAGGGTCCCCTCCCCTCCCCCCCCCCTCTCCCCTCCCCCACCCCACTACACTCGCCCCCACAGGTTCCTCAAACCCTAAACCTTCAACCCCAAACCCTTCATCAAGGGGGAAGCCTTTGGATGGCGATTGCAGGGCTGAGGGCGGAACTCGAAACCCTAAACCCTAAACCAAACCCTAAGCCCTAAACCCTAAACCCTAAACCCTAAACCCTAAACCCGAAACCCTAAACCCGAAACCCTAAACCCTAAACCCTGAACCAAACCATACACACTAAGCCCTAAACCCAAACCCTAAACCCTAAACCCTAAACCCTAGGGTTAGAGGAGGTGCTGCAAGCTCAGGTGCCCCCCCCCCCCCCCCCCATCTGCATCCCGGCCGCGGTGGGCCGCGTTCGGTGGAGGAATGAGGCCATGCTAGGGACCAGGTCCCGCTCGGAGCCTTCCTAGGGAATACAGGGTTTAGGGTTTAGGGTTTAGGGTTAGGGTTTAGGGTTTAGGGCTCCTGGGGATCAAAGGGCGCTTTCGCAGCTTTTTCGAAGATAGCATCGCTGTCCCGTGTAACAGACCCTTGTGACACTCAGCTGACGACAGAGATGCGGGGGGGGGGGGGGGGAGTTTCAGTTCTAGGGCTTCAGTGTCTTGGACTAGACGCGGCGGCTGGATTCAGGCTTCAGGAGCTTGAAGTTTCAGGTTTGGGTCCTTCTGTAACTTCGGTCAGACACCTAAACTCAAACCCAAAATCTTAACACCCCAAACCGAAACCTGAAGGGTTTAGGGTTTAGGGTTTAGGGTTTAGGGTTACAATTAGGCTTGTGTGGGGAGCATCTGTTAAGCCAGGAAGCCGCGTCGATCTTGATGAAGGAGGTCTCGTTCAAGATCGGAAAGGCCAGTAGCAGCTCTCTCAGATCCCAGACCTCTGGGTTCTCGACAATTCCAAAGAGCAAGCCAAGGGTTTAGGGTTTAGGGTTTAGGGTTTAGGGTTTAGGGTTTAGGGTTTTGGGTTTAGGGCTTAGGAAGTTTAGGAAGTTTAGGAAGTTTAGGAAGTTTAGGGTTGAGGGTAAAGTCTAGGTTTAGGAACCCAAATCATCCTGACAGGTTCAGGTTCATGACATCGGTGCACAGGCTTTAGAGCGTAGGTGCTGTGCCGCTTACATGTGACTACTCGTCTTGCCCTGCTTACCCCTGCATCAACAACCTGCCATGCACGGTGTTCCAGGATTCTTCTGCGAGAAGGAAGTTTAGGGTTTAGGGCTCAGTGAGGACTTTGGTGCTTTGGGGTTTTGGATTCAAGATGCTAGGGGTTTAGGGTTTCCTTGCTACCGAGGCGCTGTTGAAAGAATGGCCTGGCGGCCGTCGTAGATGCCCACCTGGTCCTTAGATGGAGCGTGGACACCCTGGAGTCTCCCGTCCCTGAAGCCTACTTTTCGTTGTACTTTCTGGTTAAACCGCATGTGGGATTCTGAGATAGCCTAAGTTTTAAAATTTTAGGGACCCCAGATCTGAGGGCTCTGTCATTCCGAAGTTTAACGACAGAGTCCCCTCGCAGGATGTCCTCGGTAAGAAGTGCCCTAAAACCCTAAAACCCTATAAACCCCTATAAAACCCTATAAAACCCTATAAAACCCCATAAAACCCTGTAAAACACTTTAAAACCCTATAAAACCCCATAAAACCCTAAAACCCTAAAACCCAAAAACCCAAAAACCCTCAACCCTAAACCCTGGCCCCATTTGGGGTCCATCGCTCCGAAAAGCCACAGGTGCCAAGATCATGGGGTTTAGGGTTTAGGGTTTAGGTTTTGGGGGTTAGGGTTAGGTGTGAACATGGCAGTCATGTGGAGGAGAGTGGTGGTAAACACCTGCATACATGTGATCCAGAATCCCTGCGTGCCCCAACGTGCGCTCGGAGGGCTTGCCCCGGAAGCCCTGAACCTCAAGCCGTGTCGGATCGATGTCAACCCATGTCAACCCTAAACCCTGTAAACCCCAGAAACCCTAGAATCCCTGTGATTAAACCCTAAACCCTATAAACCCTGCAAACCCTGTAAAGCCTATAAACCCTTTAAACCCTATAAACCCTATAAACCCTATAAACCCCTCTAAACCCTATGACCCCTATAAACCCAAAATCGACTGTCCAAGGTCGAAAGGGCCGGTCTTCAAACACTGTCGCCGAAGGCTCGGCCGAGTCGCCCCTGTTCGTCATCTGCACGAAACCTCCGCGGCACACTGAGTCTCTGAATCACGGTTTTCGGGTTTATAGGTTTTTCAAATTTAGAGGCAAAAGGGTTGAAAGGTTTCAAGGTTTTTAAGATTTACAGTTCATTCTCTCTCTCTCTCTCTCTCTCTCTCTTTCGGGCGGTCTTTCAAGCTCTTTCTCCGTCTCTCTGTCCGCGTCTCGCTGGCAACTTGTTTGTGGCCCAGGGTTTACCGAAGTGCAGCCCAGGTTGAGAGCTACGGGCCCAGAGATGTTCAAAGGGGTTTGATCGCCTGGTAAACTTAGCCTCGAACTCCCTGAATGGGACGTCAGCATCGCAAAAGCCCATTTGAGGGGATCGTGGCGTGGGGTCGCAAAAGGGTATCTTTAGGGTTTTAGGGCTTTGAGTCGCGAAGCATCATCGAAACAGGGCGGTTGCGGCGGCTGTCTGGGAAGCCATGGTTTCTTAGGTTTTCTATATAGTTTAGGTATTGGTGCTTAGGGTTAGTTTAGGATTTGGGGTATAGGATTTGCGGTTTGAAGTAAGCTTTAGGGTTGGTACATGAATCTGCCGTCATCTGGTCTTGCAGTACCATGCCTGGTGGCCCTAAACCCTCAACCCTTAACCCTAAACCCTTCTGCAGCAGAGCCCATGTGCAGGACCCCCACCCCCCAAACCCCAATCTACACCCCAAAACCCTCATCCAAACCCGAAAACCCTCAAATCCCCACGCCGCTGCAGCCGCAAGCCTAAACCCTAAACCCTAAACCCTAAACCCTAAACCCAAAAACCTAAACCCTAAACCCTAAACCCTAACCCCTAAACCCCTAAACCCCTAAACCCCTAAACCCCTAAACCCCTAAACCCTAAACCCTAAACCCTAAACCCTAAACCCTAAACCCGCATACCCCTAAACCTTGAACCCTAAAACCTAAACCCTGAACCCAAGGCCCCAAACCCCAAGGCCAGAACAGGGACGAAAGGTTGGTGCAGGCCCAGGGATGCTGCAGTTAGGGTTTAGGGTTTAGGGTTTAGGGTTTAGGGTTTAGGGTTTAGGGTTTAGGGTTTAGGGTTTAGGGTTTAGGGTTTAGGGTTGTTTTCCCTGGTAGCGCTTCACGCCTCCAAGTCCGACGTACTTGGGGGCTTCCAAGGTTTTTTGGGTTTAGGCCTTAGGGCTTGGGATTTAGACCCTAAACCCTAAACCCTAAACCCTAAACCGCTTGAGCCCTTCAAGGTAGCCGGCCTCGCCGTGCACCCAAGGCCACGCGAAGCAAAGAGAGGCGGTCGCGCCTGATCCCACTGACCCAAAGGGTCTGAGGCCCAAGTATATGCTATATAGGTTTAGGGTTTAGGGTTTAGGGTTTAGGGTTTAAGTATGTGCTATATGAAGTAGGGTATTATGAAGTAGGGTATGTATTTCTTGTGCCACCAAAAGGACACCACGTATATACACTCACCAATATGAAAAAGGAACCTTATGTACACTCACCAAAAACAGCAATATAAACCCTGCTTCATCTAGGTACACGGACCCTTAGGGTAAGGTCCCTTCGTGTTCGCGGCTGCGGTGTTGGGCAGACTTTTCGTAACCAAGTGATACAAGCTACATCTCTGGAGGTTTAAAACATGGACCCAAACACCAGAAAAAACGTCATGGTGACAGAAGACCCTGGTAAATTGCCTGTCGGCGTTTTGTGCCGCATTCTGAACCAGCTCCTCAAAAGCCGCGTCGCTTGGCTCGAGGACAACGACCTGCCAGATTTGTGCAAAAGCTAGACCTGCCAACTCTAAGCCAAGATTTTCTGAGATTCGATTCAAACATACACAATCCGAAGACCCAAGCCCTAAACCCTCTCTCATAGCCGCGCGGATCATAAAGGCAACTCGATATGGATAACTGCCCCCCATGCAAGTATTGTTCGGGGACAGCAGTTACTTATTACAGTTATAAGGCACACTGCCTTCTGGGCCAAGGCTGCTAGCCACAGCGATGTAGAACCGATCCATCCTCGGGGATTCCGAGCTTGTTCTGTCAAAGTTTAGTGCTTACTGTTGCTGTTCCAAAGAACAGCCCAGAAATTAGGTTTAGGGCTTAGGGCTTAGGGTTTAGGGTTTGGGGCAACAACAATCGCCCCAGCTGCCGCCCACGTCGAGGACGACCGAATCGGGCCTGCGGCAGGCTGCTGGCGACCATTTTGGGCCGAAGACCTTGGCACCCTGAACCTGCATCCGTGCACGATAATGAAAAGTGAACATAGATATAGACTTAATCTAAATATACGTTTAAAAAACATACTAAATAATATACGAAAACCCAAAAAACAAACATAAAGCATGCAAGTATGATGAATGCCAATTTGAGTATAAACATACATTCTCATCAAGGTACTGAAGACATGAACAAATACAAATCAGTACACACATGCATAAACAAATACGAGGGAAGCTTCCCTGAATTGTGCTATGGATGCTTCCTTGAATGTGGGGAATACTCCTAGCTTTTTACCCACCCCTGTCCCTGGCAACTGGCCTCACGAAGTAGCGAAAGATCTGAAAAGTGGACTCCTCCCAGGTCGGATACTTCGTCCTCCACCAGAACCTGACGAAGGAGTTCGGGTCCTAAACTTACCCTACACTCTGTTTTTTCCAAGGTGTGGGCTCCAAGGCAATGGCTTTTTCTGAGAAAAATGGAGTGTTTTGTGAAGGTCTTCATCATCTCTCATAGGCCAGCAACCAGGGAGCGATAAGGGTGAAAGGCTTTAAGTCTCAGGGTTTGTTTAGGAAGTGTTTCGTTCACACAATGCCAGGGCACGACCCTCCATGCAACATCAGAGTGTCGAAAATCGTGCCCCTAAGGTTATGCCCATTATCGGTTCCCTCTAAGTAGATTGATACATAAACAAATATATATATATATATACAGATGCATGTAAACCAAGATAAATAAATAAATAAATATATATATATATATATGCCATTCTGGTTCCTGAGTTTCCTACGGACTTTTTTGACAAGGGTTCCACAAACGTTCCCGAACCCAAACGGGACATTGTACAGCCCATGGCTAAATCCTAAGCGTTGAACGCCAAACCCGAAAAGAACGGCAAAGCATTCCTTTATCAAGGCTTGTTGGGGCATTAAGACCTCCCAACCCTAAACCCTAAACCCTAAACCCTAAACCCTAAACCCTAAACCCTAAACCCCTACGCCCCTATGCTACCAGTAGGCTTGGAGTTGCGGAGCCCAAACCAGCCTGAGCTCCCGAACCTGAGCCCTTTCACCCTAAACCCGAAACCCGAAACCCTAAACCCTAAACCCTGCAAGTTTAAGATTGAGGGATTCAGCTCTCGCAGTCGAGCTGAGGGCTTTAAAGGGTCTAGGACTGCACAACTTCATCCTACACTCTTCAGACCTGTGGGCGCAGAGACAGGGAGTGACAAACCTGGCCCCTGAACCCTGAACCCTGAAGCCCAGACCCCAAACCCCAAACCCCAAACCCCAAACCCTAAACCCTAAACCCACTGAGACGAGCTGCGCATGACGAGCCGAGGGGTCGAAGCGGACGGGAATGCCAACCTTTAGGGAGTCTTGGAGTCGAGGGTTTATTTGGTTCAAGTTCAGGGTTTAGGTAGGGTTTAGGGTTTAGATTAGGGTTTAGGGTTTAGGGTCTAGGGTTTAGGGTTTAGGGCTTAGGGCTTAGGGTTTAGGGTCTGAGATTAGGGTTTAGGGTTTAGGGTTTAGGGTCTAGGGTCTAGCGCTTAGGGTTTAGGGTTTGGGTCTAGGCGCTAAGAACTCTCTAAAACCCATACACCCTCCACCCTAAAACCTCGACTCTAAACCCCAAAGCCTAACACACACACACACACACGCCCTTAACCACTAAATAACCCAAGACAACCCTAACCCTAAACCCTAAACCCTAAACCCTAAACCCTAAACCCTAAACCCTAAACCCCCAGACTCCCAACGTCTCTTGCTTTCATGGCAGCAGCCAGACTGTTGCTTTGGGCTTAGGGCTGCAGGTTCCCCAGGTTCAGGGTTTATAGGGTTTACCCAAAGAGCCCAATATTGCTGAATTAAGGAATATCCTTAAATCATATAGGGATCCTTAATATGATTTAAGGTATATTCCTTAATTAAGCTATATTGGGCCCAATAGGGGGAGAGGTTCTCCAAGGTTCCATCCCTTTCTAGGTTCCCACGAAACACGGATACTTGTGTGAAGGGTTAAGTTTAGAGAATTCCCCACATCCCCAAAGAGCCCAATATTGCTGAATTAAGGAATATTCCTTAAATCATATTAAGGATCCCTATATGATTTAAGGCATATTCCTGAATTCAGCAATATTGGGCTCTTTGGGTAGGGCTCACCTAATTCAACCCTGAACCCTAAACCCTAAACCCTTCGGGTTTAGTACAGGCCTTACCGGTTCGGGGGGGGGGGGGGGGGGCTTAGGGTAAGGCGGAGTTTTACGCAAAAAAGTCTATGCCGACTTGAGCCTTATTTAGACCCTTAAGACAACATCCTTTTACCCTAAGGGTAGTTACGTGGTCCGCTAGTATGGGCCCTTAAAAGGGCACCCGTTATGTGCCCCTTATTTGCCCTATACAAATTCGGGGCCATATTCAGGGACCATGAACATACCCTTAGGTTTGCGCCAAAGCTTTTAGCCCTATAGATATCTAAAGCCAAACCCAAAACCCTATTTGCAGCCCGCCTGAAAAGGCACATGCTGGCAAAGAGGCCATTGCCCCAACCCTAAAACCCTAGACGCGAAAACTCTTTGCGCTGCGCTAGAACCCTAAACCCTAAACCCTAAACCCTAAACCCTAAACCCTAAACCCTAAACCCTAAACCCTAAACCCTAAACCCTAAACCCTAAACCCTAAACCCAAACACTTTGACCAACCCCCCCAAAGGCCTCTCTTTCTCTCACACTCGCGTGCTCAGTTCGGACCTAACCCCAAAACTCCCAAGACTCAAGCCCGCTACAGCCTCTGAACCATAAACAACCCCAAGGCCCGCATAGGGTTTAGGGTCGGGTTTAGGTTTAAAACCTAAACTTAATAGTTGCTTAAGAACCCCTCCCCAAAAAACATTCTTCCCAATATTCTGTTTTTGGAGGGGTTCTTCAGCAAATGGTAGTGTTTTTTACCTAAACCCTAAGCCCCGAATTTTTTCGGCAAGTAGTAGAAACCCTGAACCCCAAAGCTCTCTACCCGCGCCTTGGTCACGCAGGCGGCCTCACTTGGCAGGCAGGGCCAAACGCTGCCTGACCGGGGCCGTACTTGGAGGTTCATGGGTACTTAGAAGCAGGGCTGCCCGTACCCTAAGAAAGGCTATTACCATAGTTACCCTAGTTACAACCCAGATCTTCCAAAACCCCTAATTAAGGAATATAACCTAATCTATGCTAAGGATCATGATTATGAGTTCGGAAATGTTCCTTAATAAAGGGTTTTTGGAAGATCTGGGTAACCCTACTTATATGTACCCATGAACCTCCAAGTAGCCGCCAGAGTATTTCTATCAGGGTCCATGCACCTATATAGGGTGCATGGGCTTAGGGCTTAGGAACTTGGGCCCGAAAGCTACTGTATGAGAACTTAAAGGGGGCTCTTTCAAGTTTGGGTTTGGTTTAGAGAGAGTTGGGGCTTAGGGATCCCAGGCTTCACTTATTTCCCGAAACCCTAAACGGGCCCAGGAAGGTTAGTTTAGGAATTGGGGGCTTTGGGACTGACGAGGGCTCAAAGGTCTTTGGGGTCCAGGGGGTTGGTTTCTGAACTGGGACTTAGGTGGGATGTTGGATGGGCTGAGCGCTCTGTCTGCCCAAGAAACAAAAACCCGAAACCCAAAGAGCGCATAGACCCTGAATCCTAACCTGAATCCTAAACCCTAAACACTAAACCCAACACCCTAAACCCGACCCTGGACCCCGAAGCTCCGTGTTCAAGTCTCCAGAATGAGGACACTGTTTCTTTCACAAGTTCCTGAACAAGCAGCCCAGGCTTCAGAGCAGTCAGAAACCCGCAAACCTCGATTCCTTCGACGCTTACTGCTCTGCAGCGCCTTACTGTTTCAAGGCCCAGACTGTTCCATTCTGAGATGGCCACTTCTCCAAAATCTGGTCCCTTTTTGGGGTCCTCATGATAAAGCGGCCCCCTCTTATTTAGGGAACCTACCCTAAACCCTAAACCCTAAACCCTAAACCCTAAACCCTAAACCTAAACGCAGGGACCGTGATTCTGAGAAGTGACCAGATCGCTCTCCTCTACCCCTGGCTCTGTACAAACGCAAGCGCAGGCTACAGGACCGCCCCGGGGATCTGAAGGATGTGGAGCTGACGAACCCTAAACCCTAAACCTTAATCCCTAAACCCTGAGCCCTAAGCCCTAAACCCTAATATGAAACCTCCCCCTACTCCCTGATATTGAATACTCCAGATACAGTGATCTTATGGTATATAGGGGGGGTGATTAAAAATATTGGGGGGTGGGAGGGGGCTTAAACCGCTGTTCTTCAGGTCCCAGTGCGTTCTAACTGCTTCAGTCCTCTCCAGCTCCTGTCCTACCTCTTCGATGGCTTGGGATCGGCCTCGGGTTTCCGTGGCCTCGGAGCCTTCCCATCTTGGTCAATCGCGCCCCTCCGCCTCGCGCCCTTCGAACTCAAGGCCCCCAGCGCCGCGATACCTTGACCCAAGGTTAACATAGGAATGAGAACGGTGCCCTTTTTTGGTTTAAAGGGGCTTGTCAGGAAAACCTAACCCGAAAAAAAGGAATAAGGGCCTACTCTGGGTCCTAGTAACCATAAACGCTAAAAACCCTAAAGCCCTAGTCCCTAAACCCCCCCAAAAAACCAAAAAGGGTAAATCAAAACCTAAAACCCTAAAGCCCTAGTCCCTAACCCCCCCCCCCCCCCCCCCCCCACAAAAAAAACCAAAAGGGTAAACTAAACCCTAAACCCTAAACCCTAAACCCTACACCCTAAACCCTAAACCCTAAACCCTAAACCCTAAACCCTGAACCAAAAAGGGAATAAGGGGCCGAGTCTGGGTCCGAGAAGCCGAAGGCGGCGGCGCCCAGTGCGATGCCCTCCGGCCCAAGCTCCTTCGGGGTTTAGGGTTTAGGGTTTAGGGTTTCGGGTTTAGGGTTTAGGGTTTCGGGCTTCGGGTTTAGGGTTTAGGGGGCGGCCCAAGCTCCTTCAAGGTGTCGGTGACGGGGCGGAAGGCATCTTCAGCTTGCGCCACGGCCTCAAACTCGGCCTTCGTCTTCCCCTTGAAGCCTTAGGGTGGTTCTCGAAAGTTTAGGGCCCCTTCTTGGGATCCCTTCTTAAAGGTTGCCGCTTTACAATGGGTACCCAACAAAAGGGACCGTAATTTAGGAAGCTACCCATGATGCTATAAGGGTGTACCCTTTTTCAGTTTGCTTACTTTATATAAGGGAGCCCAGAATATGCTATAAGGGTGTACCCTTTTTCAGATTGCTTGCTTTATATAAGGGAGCCCAGAATTAAAAACCAAAAAAAAGGGCCAAAGGGCACCGCTGGGCTACCAAGGAGCCATCGGCAGGACCCACCTTACTTCTCCAAGAAACAGAGGAAAAAAGGGTTTCAACTGTCATGTTCCTACTAAATAAGGAAACCCTAAACCCTGAACCCTAAACCCTAAACCCCAAACCCCAAACCCCAAACCCCAAACCCTAAACCCTAAACCCCAAACCCTAAACCCTAAACCCTAAACCCTAAACCCTCAACTCAAGGCGAAGTAAGCCACCAGGCACACCGGGCGCTGGCGGACCAGGCGCAGCGCTTCGCCGCGGTCGCCGTCGCAGACCTCCTCGACCACGGCCTCCCAGGAAGCCTTGAGGTTCCTTGGGATGCGGGTTAGGGTTTAGGGTTTAGGGTTTAGGGTTTAGGGTTTAGGGTTTAGGGTTTAGGGTTTAGGGTTTAGGGTTTAGGGTTTAGGGTTTAGGGTTTAGGGTTTAGGGTTTAGGGTTTAGGGTTTATGGTTAGGGTTTAGGGTTTAGGGTTTAGGGTTTAGGGTTTAGGGTTTAGGGTTTAGGGTTTAGGGTTTAGGGTTTAGGGTTTAGGGTTTAGGGTTTAGGGTTTAGGGTTTAGGGTTTAGGGTTTAGGGTTTAGGGTTAGGGCTTACCCTCAGGTTCCTTGTTGGACTTCTTTTGGAGGCTACGCCGGGACATGAAAAGTGTATAACCTTGCTAGGTTCGTTGTCATCGAAAAGGAACCAGAAATCTAGGCTTTTGCTTTTGAAACAGCATACTGCATCCTCTTGAAGCAGTATTGCTGGAATCCAGAACCCTTAAAACGGTGAGCAACAAACAACAAGCAAAAACCAACACGCCCTCCGCAAGAGCACAACTAGACCCAGGAGTAACCTAGGAACAAAAAAAGACCCCTTTTTGGTTTAAAGGGGTTTATGAGGGAACCTAAGGCCCCCAAAAAGGGAATAAGGGCCTACTCTGGGTCCTAAACCCTAAACCCTAAACCCTAAACCCTAAACCCTAAACCCTAAACCCTCCTAAACCCTAAGCCCAAGGATCTCTTCCTGCATCGCCAGGAGCAGCGGCTCCGACTTTGCCAGGCCCAGGGCCTCATCCCGGCCCATTGTTTCACCTAAGGCTTGGAAGCGCCGCAGGAGGTCCTGCCTAGGTTGGCCCTTAGAAATAGGGTTTAGGGTTTAGGGTTTAGGGTTTCCCAGTTTTTTTTCCGAAATATAGGGTCCTCTTAAGCCCAATAAGGGGAAAGTAAACAAATATTCTATGAGGGCCTACCGAGCCGCTCACTACAAGGGGTGCCCAGATAGCTTGGACTTGGGCTTGCCATCACCTGGGGAAACCTTGGCTGACTTCTGAAGTAGGGTTTAGGGTTTAGGGTTTAGCCCTCCTAAAAGTTTCACTTTTAGGCCTCCTGATTGTAGTTGTCTACAAAAACACACAAGGCTATAAAGTGCTCAGAGCCAGCCAGAAGAATGCCAGGACACTTCTGCTTGAAAGCCCGGACCGCCTCATCCCCACCCGGCGTCTGCAAGACGCCTCTTCGAGCCAGCGGCCCGATATCCTGTTTAGGGTTTAGGGTTTAGGTTCTTTTTTGGTTGGTTTAGGGTTTAGGGTTTAGGGTTTAGGGTTTAGGGTTTAGGGTTTAGGGTTTAGGGTTTAGGGTTTAGGGTTTAGGGTTTAGGGTGTGTCGGGGGAGGGCGCGCGCTCGGGTGTGAAACACCCCGGGCCGCGCGCTCGCGTTGCCCGTCAACCCACCCCGGCCACCCAAACTATACTCTATTAGGGTTTAGGGTTTATGGAATTTACTTTCTTGTGCTATGATGCTTGCTTTGATGTTTTTAAAGTTGCGCTGTTAGGGTTTAAGCTGGGGTTGGGGGTAGCCTCGGCCCTTTTCGGGCCTTCGGCGTGTCAGGGCCCGTAGAGGCCCTTATTTATTTGAAGGTCAGGGAAACCCTTTGTCCCTCCCCTATATTCCCCTTTTAAGGGCCTCAAGCCCCAGGCCAAGCACTGCCGGGCCTCCTCGGGCCATGTTGGGGCCAAGGGTTGCCGGGTTAAGGGCCTTTCGGGCCAAGGGCCGGCCGAGCAAGGGCCCCCAACAGCCCCTCTGGGCCAGCCTTCCGGGGCAAGGGCCTGGGCCAAGCGCCTCCCGGCCAAGGAAGGGGAGGGGGCGGCCCCCGAAATTCAACCCTACATCCAGGAAAGCCCAAACCAGCAAAGGCCTCTACGGGCCCTGACCCGGCGGGGGTCCTTGGCCAGGGCTCGAAACCCAAAATTGACCAACCTGCCTGAACCCTCGCCAGCCTCCTAGTCCAGGAATCCAGCCACCAGGGGCCAGGGGCCTTCGGGGGGGGGGGGGGGCCGGCAAACCCTGAACCCAAAACCCTGCAGAGGCAAAGGGTTCGATTTGGGGTGTTCTTTTAGCTACGCTAAAGGTGGTCTGGGTGCCGGCCATCCCTTAGCCGAGTACTGACGTTGTCGTAAAATAGGCCGATGTCCGTTGGCCTGTCCAGGACAGACGGTGAGGCTTAACCCTCACCTTTCCGTTTCTCTTTTCGCTTGGGCGCTCGGGCTGTAAGGCCCTCGACCGAGTGTTCGGGGTCTGTCGCTCGACGGAAGCGACCCCTCACTTAGTTTAGGGTTTAGGGTTTAGGGTTTAGGGTTTAGGGTTTAGGGTTTAGGGTTTAATTAGGGTTTAGGGGTTTAGGGGTTTAGGGGTTTAGGGTTTAGGGTTTAATTAGGGTTTAGGGTTTAGGGTTTAGGGTTGAGGGTGCATCCTCGACATCCAGGAGCTCACTCGCCCGCAACGCTGTGGCGCGGCTTCTTGTGACTCTTGTGGTCGGGCAACTCCCGAGAAACCCTGGACCTGAACGGAGCTGGAGGGTCCCGATGCCCAGCAGCAGGAGGCTCGGCTGGAATGGCCGAAGCTTCATTGCCGCGCCGGCGGGGGCACAAGTGGTATGGGGCGTGAGGCTACAGTGTTGACTGCACTCAACATGACGGGGTTTTCGCTATGCCTTGCCAATGAACGCTCTGAACCTAGCAAGGGCATCGAAGTACGGATAGTGCTATGTATACTAAAGACTGAACTGAAGTGCTTCAGCAGGAATCACTCCGAAAGCACGTGGTAGCCCAGCAATTCCTTCCAAGTCACACGAAGTGTTCTAAGTTCTGGTTCAAGAAGTTTGCAAAGTCGCGCAACGCAAGTTCTGTCGTCCCAGTCATCTGGGTCGGGCAAGCACGACCTCTATTCGCAACGCGCCAAGCCCTATATCTTTTCACCCGCCAGCCCCCCCCCCAAAAAAAAAAAAAACAAATAAATAAAAATAATAATAATAATAAAAGGAGAACAAACCCTGCATAACTCTCACATGGAAGAATATCCTTCTTTGTGAGGATTCTTAAGTAGTTGTATCCTCCTGATAGAACCCTTGAAGGGTTTTCAGTGACAAGCGTACTACGAAGGACAAAGTTTCGGAACTCTTGGGACCATGGGCTTGGAAAGTTCAATGTCAAATCTGGGGCATCTGCACAGTTGTAGAGGGCTTGTGCGGGCTTTGTAGGTTTTCATGGCGTTTGGGAACCCTGAACCCTGAACCCTAATCCCTAATCCTAAACCCTAAACCCGAATCCTAAACCCTAAACCCTAGGCCCTAAACCCGAACCTATAGGGGGTCGGAGGAAGACCCACCCCTGAAGCCGAACTCAGTCTGCGAAAGGCGCCTGTGGCCATGGGGCCATTGGCGCAGGACGCGTGCGCGCGCCACGCAGGGAACCGGGGGGGGGGGGGGGGGGGGGGGGCAATTGGGATTTAGGGTCTGTGGGTTTAGGGTTTTTTTTGTGGCTTGGGTTTTGGGTTGCTAGGGTCCCTAGGTCCTGTAAAGCGTACCACACAAGGGCAACTCGTTCTATGGTCACGTCGGATTGTAAGTTTAGGATGTAGGGTACGTATGACAGCTATGACAGCTGAGAGACTTATGGTAAGGCCCCGTCCAAGGTTGCCATTTTGACTTGTTCTTCTAGGGTCCTTGGGGGTGGGGGGGCTTCAACAAACTCAAGGTTCCCTAATACCCCACTCCTTCCTAAGGCTCCCTCTGCTTCCTTAAGGTTCCCTACGTACCTACCCACCCCATGAACCACCTTCCCCTGAAGGACCCGAAAATGTTCCGACAATCAGGCTTGGACCCTGAACCTTAGCCCCCCTAAACCCTAAACCCTAAACCCTAAGCCCTAAGCCCTAAACCCTAAACCGCCCCCTTGTAGGTTGAGGATTTGGGGTAATCTCTGCGAGCCGAGATAACATCGTGGTTTAGGGTTTAGGGTTTTTGGGGTTGCGGTTTAGGGTTTAGGGGTACTCCTCAGCAAAGGGGCATAAACTCTACGCAAGGATGGAGGAGCAGCATGTTCACCCCACCCGAAACTGAAGAACCCCAAGAGCACGTGTACGTAGCTCTGCATATTCTATACAAAAAACAGAAACATATGTATATATATATATATGCACATGCATGCATATAGATCTTGTATTTATATAGATATATGATATACATACCCAGATGTTCCAAAACCCCTTAATGAAGGAACATGCCCTAATTCATAATTGTGATACTTCGTAAAACATAAGGCGTTTTGGAAGATCTGGGCGTTAATATATATGTATATACATATTATGTATGCATTCTGAAGGGGTTCTAGGACCTTGTTTCCTTTTGCCCAGGGTTTAGGGCTCTTGGTTCTACGAAGCGTGGACTTAGGGTTGAGGAAGCCTGGGATACCGGCTGCAGCGGGGGACCAGGTGGGGTTTAGGGTTTAAGGTTTAGGGCTTAAGGGTTTAAGGGTTAAGGGTTTGAGGGTTTAAACGTCTAAGGTGTAAGGGTCTGTGTTGCTTCGGACTTTTTGCGACCAGCGTTCTGCCACGAATCGCAGGCATTGCTCTGTGTGACAGGCTCCTTCTCCTCTTTCGCGGAAAATTCGCAAAAGCCGCGGCCTCTTTGTTGGCATCCTGAGCCCCCAGGGTTTCATATGGGGAGGACACGACAGACCTCCACAGCCTTAGCCAGAGTAGGGTCCTAGCTGGACCGTTTCGCTATGTCGACTCCTGGTTACCCAAGGTAAAAGAAGTATTTAGGGTTTAGGATTTAGGGCTTTAGTGCAACCGGACGCGCAATCATACGCTGTCTTCGATGCCAACAGGAAGCGAACCGTGAAACAGGAAGCCTCGTACGGGGCACTATAGACGGGGCCAGAGACATCAGCTCCGGTCAGTTCGGGTTGCAAGGAGACGCTGGCAGCAGCGACTTTTTGTGTAGTTGAGCACTCCACAGACCGCTCGACTGGACGCACTCTTTCAAAGTGTATTCAGGGTTTCGGAACCAGGCTCTGGAAACTGGACAAGTGAAAGTCGAAGAACCCAGGAGGTCGCTTCAATCGGTCTGCAGGAGAGCTACAAGCCTGTACTGCTACCTCTTTGTGCTGAAGCCGCAATGCAGAGGCAGTAGCAGCAGGAGGAGGAGGAGGTAGTGGTAGTGGTAGTGGTAGTGGTAGTGGTAGTGGTAGTGGTAGTGGTAGTGGTAGTGGTAGTGGTAGTGGTAGTGGTAGTGGTAGTGGTAGTGGTAGTGGTAGTGGTAGTAGTAGTAGTGGCAGTGGCAGTGGCAGTGGCAGTGGCAGTCGCAGTAGCAGTAGCAGTAGCAGTAGTAGTAGTAGTAGTAGTAGTAGTAGTAGTAGTAGTAGTAGTAGTAGTAGTAGTAGTAGTAGTAGTAGTAGTAGTAGTAGTAGTAGTAGTAGTAGTAGTAGTAGTAGTAGTAGCAGGAGTAGTAGTAGTAGTAGTAGTAGTAGTAGTAGTAGTAGTAGTAGTAGTAGTAGTAGTAGCAGCAGTAGTGGTAGTGGTAGTGGTAGTGGTAGTGGTAGTGGAGGTAGTGGTAGTTGCAGTGGTGGTAGTGGTAGTGGTAGTAGTGGGAGTAGTGGGAGTAGGCGCGCAGGACTATAGCAGTAAAAGTAAGAAGAGTAAGAGTCAGACTAAGAGTAAGAGCGGTAAGAAGAGCAGTAGGAGAGTACAATGAGAAGGAGTAGGGCTAGGAGTACGACGAGGAGTAGGACAGGAGTAGGAGTAGTAGGAGTAGTAGAAGGACGAGCAGAGCAGGAGTAGGGCAGACGCAGGAGCAACAACTTCTGGCGGGGGGGGGGGGGGGGGGGGGGGGGGGTGGGGGACTACTGCTTGCTGTTACAGGCTCATTCTCGTGCATCTGGGATGCTATTTCTCGAGTTGCAATTAAGCCAATTTTCCAAGGGCGACGTTGTGAAATGTACGATCTCTTGAACTCGTAAGAGTCCTGGTAAGGTAAAGCGTCGGAAGCTTCCCTCAACCCTCAGAGACAGCAGTACTTGCCAGCTCGTGGAAAATCTGCCAGCGTCCACATGTGGACACCAAACAATCTTACCACCTGCTATACTCTAGCTGAGCCCTAAGCCCTAAGCCCTAAGCCCTCAGCCCTACCAAGCGCCCTAAATCCCTTAGCCATCAAGCTTAACCCCTAAACCTAAGCCCCCAAACGCCCTAAAATTTAAAACCCTAAACCCCAAGACCCTAGTCTGAAGATCTAGGGCTCCGCCGCGGCACGGACTGCCGCCGGCATGCCCAGATCAAGGGATTCTTGGGCTCTGCCGGACATTTCCCCCCCGAATCAAGATGAGTCCAAGCATGCCAGAGAGGTTGGGAATTAGGGTGTCTGCTGCATAATCTGAGGATTTAGGGCTTAGGGTTTGCTACCCTAAACCTAAGCCTAAGCCCCTACGCCCCAAGCTTTTCTGTTCTGTTCGGGCCGCTCCACACTCAACTTGAGATGTGCGCCCTTATGCTAACAGTCCCTAGTAGGGACTACAATAGGGGGCACTCTAATCCCTATGAGGACTGTTAGTATAAGGGGAACATCCCAACACTCAACCCTTAACTGCAATCTTCCTCTCGCAGCCGTCTAGCCGGGTTTTCGCAAAGAGCCCAATATCCCTTAGACAAGGAATATGCCTTAAATGATATGTAGAGCCACTACATCACTTACGGTATGTTCCTTACTTAATTAAGGGGTATTGGCTCTCAGGGTAGAATGTAGGGTTTTTTTGCGGCTAGCCCCAGGATGGGCAGTCTTAAGCCCCGTAAGTCTGAATTCCGAACTACTATTTGCTTAGGGAACCGCATCATTAAGCACGTTCTTCCTTTCAAGGACAATGTATTGGGATGTTCCCCCCTGATACTAATAGTCCATAATAGGGATTGTAATAATTAGGGGGTACTAGGACTCTTAGCATAAGGGGAACAGCCCCAGCAATGAAGGGACTACTACTTGTTGTTCTCTGAGTGGCATTTAGGCAAATATCTAGACCCAAGAGTAACCCAGGAACAAGAAGGGCGCCCTTGTCGTTTTAAGAGAATAAGGGAACCTAAGCCCTCAAAAAAGGGAATAAGGGCCTTCTCTGGGTCCTAGTAACCCCAAACCCTAAAACCCTAAACCCTGAAACCCTAAGCCCACCAAAACCCTAAAGCCGTAGTAGGAAACCTTTTTAACCAACCCTAGAAACTAACCCCAAAACCCCAAACCCCAAACCCTAAACCCTAAACCCTAAACCTATCATGAACCCTGAAGCCTCTACTTCTGGGCAAAGCTGTGGAAGCCGGGGGGGAGGATTACGGCGCGCAGCCCAAGGGGGCAGCATCTCGGAAACAAAGCCATCCACATCACAAGCTTAGGGTTTATAGGGTTTAGGGCTTAGCGTTTAGGAAGTTTAGGGTTTAGTTTAAGAAGATTAGGGTGTACTAGACTAGAGGCGGCCACCACAAGTCTTGAGACTCAGAAGGCGCAACCAATAAACCCTGAACCCGTAACCCTACAGCAAACCGAAAAGTCCTTACTTCCTCCCGAAAGGCTGGACCCCTAAAACCTTCAACGAGGTCCAAACCCTAAACCCTAAACCCTAAACCTTCACCCCTACACGTTGACCCCTAAACCCTATAAACCCTAAACCCTAAACCCTAAACCCTAAACCCCTAACCCACGAAAGGACTGTGAATTCGGGGTTCTGCGGGCCATAGTTGCCCGGTGCCCCACTGTAATACTACCATGTAGGGTTAGGGTTTAGGGTTTAGGGTTTAGGGTTTAGGGTTTAGGGTTTGGGGTTTAGGGTTTAGGGTTTTAGGGTTTAGGGGTTAGCTATGAGGGCCTTCTATTGATGGTACCACAACATATAGTAATTACAAACTAGGGTTATTCTACCAGTGCCTTGCATTGGAGGGTACAGGGCAATGCCTAAGCGATAAGGGTGTTAAGGTTTGAACAACCAGGACTTTTGAAGTGTGTCGAGTCTTACCCTTATACAACCCTGGCAGCCCTAAACTCTAAACCCACAAACCTAAACCCTGAACCCTTCAGTCCTCAAAACCTGAAACCAGTTGTTTTTAGTTTAAGGTGGGAACTTCGAAACTTCTTGTATGCTTTGTTGGGGTATGCCTCAACCCAAAACCCTAAACTCTAAACCCTAAAACCCAAACCCTAAACCCCAACCCTACATGGTTGTTTAGGGGCTTATATGCGTTTGTTGTTTTTTGTTCTTTTTTGTTGGGGGGGGGGGGGGGGGGGGGGGCGGGGGGTGACTGGTGTCTCTTTCCTTTGAGAAGCGGCCCGCTCTGTATCCAGGGACGACGGTGCCGTGTGGCGAACAAGGCTGAGGGCCGAAACTTGATGG